AGGTGTCACTGAAAATTGGGAGGTAAAGAGTGCAAGTATTTCATTATGAGAAATCAACACACTAGACGTTATTGACAACTTTAAAAAGGTTTGAATAAAAATAAATCATAAATATCGAGTAATATTTTATTTTGAAGTAAAGCTTATGTTATTTGAATCTTGATCATATGTTATAATCTTTTTTTTTAAATTTCAAGTGTTTAGTTTGGACCAACCCTACTTGAGAGATGATGTTGGTGATACTTTGGACCCAATATTTTCTCGATATCACTTCATTAATGAAGTATGATATGGTTGTAGACTTTTATCGAAAATTATCTTTATTTAGACATACTAACTAATTTGTGGAACATGTGGTGTGTGATAAACTATCTGTCACTTGGTATTTTTGTCCGTTTGTGAAGTTGAAATATATTGTTGGTAGGTTGCATTGGAGTAAAGTTGGTAAATATTTTGTTTTGTTATTTGTTTGTTGGTATTGGAGTGTTGTTCGTAAAAGAAGTATTTCTAATATAAAAATGTTAAAAAAAAAAAAAATAGAATGGTGCACCACTTTTTATAACGGGCATTCTAAACGAATTAAAAGGTATGGATTTTATTGTCGGTTCAAACAAACGATATAGAAAGTAGGGAATCGATATAAATGATGATTATTTTATAACGGGTCATTACTAATACGTTAGAAACTAGAGTATTTATAACGGGTCTTCGTTAACCCGTTGTACATGACAATATGATTATAACAGGTCTTTTATAACCCGTTGTAAACACACTCTAGTTTAACTAGTCTTCATTAACTAGTTATAAACTATAGTCTGATTATAAAAGGTTATATTTATTGTAGAAAGTTCTTCCTTTCTACAACAACTTTTCTACAACAACTGAAACTATAGATAATTAAAGTACGAAAGAAAAAAAAAGTTACATGGGCTGGAGCCCACTCTAGCCCATGGTGGCTCCACCCTTGAGTAGATAGTTACACACATCAACAAGAGAAACCAGTTATTTATTCAGAAGCAAACAAATAAAATAAAATAAAAAATGTATTAGATAATTAATAATATATCATTTCAAATTAGAGAGAAATTGAAACAAATAAAAGAAATTATATTTATTGCGATCCAACTACAACGCCCATGTTGAAGAGGACGGGTCCACACTGAGGGAGGGCAGTCTTGGTCTGGAATCCAATGGCATTGGCGAACCTGAAGCCCGAGTGCATGCCGTCATTGGACGCCAACACCACCCTCGACTTATCGCCCAACGGTTCGTTGCAATCGTCGCTCGGGCTCTTGACCACCGATACCTCACATATCTCGTCACCGTGGTCCCCGACAACTGGGAGGCTATACTGCCCATTGGGGCCGGTCACCCCATCCAACGAATAGGTCACGGCTTTGGTGTCTGCATGCCTGCATTCCAGCCGCACGTTGGCACCTGCATGGCACATGCAATTAATTTGCGCGTTTTATGTCATAAAAAAATACATATTATTGGAGTATCACTTGTCAGAGTTGTCCCATACAAATTCTATAGAAAAATAAGTTTAATTTATAAGTTTAGTGGGCTACTCCTTCCTTCCATCATCAATTGATGTTGAGATGGAATCTCATTAAGTGCACCTAGGCCCACCTCTCGGACCGCACCCTCTTCGCATGAATCTATAAATCTAATACACAATTTTGAAAATGAGTATTGTTGGATGTACATAATTTGTGTTTAGATATAAAGTATATGCACACGCCAAATTATGTTATAACTAGTCATGCTAAAAAAGATATGAAGCTTAATTGTTTGTTGAGGATCTCGAAATAAAATTAATTATTGAATTATTACCGACGAGCCTTCGGGCGAGCTCGGTCTCGAACTGGACACGGCACGGGTCACAGTAGACGTCACCCTCGACATTGAAGTCGTGGTGGGCGTTGGCGAAGGTGGCAATGGCCAGGATGCAGAGGGCGGATGCGAGAGCTACAGCCTTGGCCATTGTTTTATTATTTTGCTTTCTTGTTTTTTTTTTTTTCNAATGTAATTGTTAAGTGATCTTTTGAAAAATCATCACAGCTTTCTCCTATATGTTGACCCGTTTTCTCCTTGACAGCCACTTAACTCGTTGCGACCAATATAAAAATAAATAAGAAGATTTATTCATATTACTTTGATAAAGGTGTTTTCAAGCACGATTTAATTCTTGTTAATGTAGTCCGCAAAACTCTAAAATAGAGATGTTCATTTAGCTAGCAAATGTGTCATGACCAGACAGACTCATTAGTTGGACTCGAAGTAAGTTTTTACCAGAGAGAAAAATAAAACAAAATAATAAATAAATAAATAGTGTTTAACATATTTGTTATATTTCGGAGCTTTTTGTTGGTTTGATACTAAGCTTTGTGATAATATACCAACAAGTTTAACTTGTTTGGCTCAAATAAAAAAAGTGTGATATGACCTAGAAAGAAGGCAGCAGACAGAATCAGTGAGAAGAAAGGAAAAAAATGGTCTACTAAATTGGATTCCCTTGTGGAAAGTCCGTTTAAAAGAAAATGGATATTATCAAAACCCAAAAGAAAGAAATAGCATGTAATAATTTATGTAACCAATAACCACGGGTACAAAAGTTACACAAAATCTACAAGAAAACATAGTTAGACCACTAACTTCATGTTTTGCAAAACTGAGTCAGGGATGAGAGCAGCCTACCAACACTCAGTGATTAACATCTAAACAGCGAGTTCCGTGCGGCATTTAAGCATCTAAACAGTGAGTTCCTTGTGGCATTTATAGATGACAACAAAAAAAATTTAAGTGAGGGTTCCTACTAATTTCAGACCGCAATTGTTGCTACATACGAGTCTCTGTCGCAAGTCAGGATCATGATTTAGGAACTTTTTTGAGTAGTTTGTATAAGCCAAATACATTCTTTTGCTGCCAGAGGTATGGAATAAAGAATGACCGGAACATGGGTGGTGACAGCTCTCGATCTAGATAAGGTAATGCTGCCACGGCCTGTTCATAATAACCAATAAGATTGTCAGAGTCTGTGTGTGTGAGTCCCTGCGTACTTCTGTGTGCATGTGAGAGATACAGATAGTATCTGCGTTTGTCAGACACACACACAGAGAGAGAGAGAGAGAGAGAGAGAGAGATTTTACCTCCCATGTTTCCAGGTCACTCCCTCGAGGAAGATAAGGTCTTTGTAAATGCAATTCAACAAGAAAAGTGCACTGATTGAGATCTTGGAGCTGCGAGTTGTTACAAGAAAACGAACCGATTAATTCAACCAGATTTAGTAAGAAACAAAGAAATGGGATAACTACAAAAGCCACCATCAAGGAGAAGCTTAGTTGCAGAAAGATCCAATTACACAGATACCCCATGAGGTTTGTATTTATTCTACTAATTACCTAAGGAAAGCACATCAAACTATCAAAGGAGTAAGTACAATATTGGGAAGTGTTTTTTTTTTTTAAAAAAAGAAAAATTGTGTATGATTTACTAAACCTCAAGGGACGTACTGATAATTACAAATACGAAAAGAGAAGAAATATAAGCAAACAGGTAGAATGGATACATATTGTTGGTCTGAGGCATGGTTCTTGTTGTTGAAATAAGATGGTGCAGCTGAGGTTCCACCCAGTGTAGAGTTGAATGGGAATGGGAGAAGACCTTTGAAGCCATCGTCTATCCATCGAACCTCTTTTATGTAGTCAGGAACAAGAAAAGATGATGGGTACCGGTGCCATTCACTTCCAACACACAACACAGCACCTATATTATGTGTACAATCTTACAAAAGTGAGATATATGCTTGCAAACCTAAATTCCGTTAACAACAAAACCTTCTGGGGCAAAAGCACACTGTCCCAATTACATTACTACTTGAATCACCATATAAAATTTTCACAGGAAGCACGAGGGCCTTGGTTAGAATAATATCGAAAAATCTCAGGTTTAAGATCAAAAGCAGTGGACTCAAAATGACTCCAAAACATGTAAGGTATCACACAAAGTACTATTTTAAAATGTTATATGTAAAAAAATTATTTGACAAAATAAAAAATATATTCAGACCCTAAAAAAATAAAATTCATTTAATAAGAAAATGTATGCCCTCAACAATTCTAAACATGATGTGAGAACAAGAATACTCTAGGCTCTAACCTTAATAATGATAATACAAATACTAGAGAACTTATTAACACCATATGACCCTACAAACTGGAGCAATTATTTAAAAATACTCTATGGTTGGGCCAACACATGCATCGGATTCGACGGACCGTAAGACATTGTTTGAAGAAATACATTTTAACAAGGGTCAGAAAAGCAGTGGAATCGCAGAAGATGAATATCGACAGAAACTGACCCGACTGCCCTGACAAGCTGGCGACAACAAGCAGCTTCATCTTACTGTTGTCGTACAATAGTGCTAACATTTAACCGTTGGAGAATAGATATAGCCTAATGGAAGCATCCACTTCATGAGCGTGTAACTGAGCCCATAGCCACAAATCCTCTTTTATTGTTTACTTTACAATGTTCTTGAATCAAGATAAGGTTATTTATTATTTATTAATGTTTGTTGAGTTAACACATAAAAGGCCATTTATTTTCTTTCCAATTGCATCTATGTGCAACAATGTGATGCTACAGCATTAGAAACGAAGAAAACACCAATTTTACTATTGTGTTTCCCTCGCTATTAGTTGACAGTCTCCACGTATATAGAGAATATGAAGACAGATAAAAGATGCACTGGAAGAGGAAAAATATTGACACACATCGATATTCTAAGATATGTATAGTAGGCTAACATGCAAAAATAGTAAGCCACCTTCTGCTGTATCATCATGGTGTTCCAAATGCTTGTAAATCTCCAATGGAGCTGAATAACCATTGATCAATGAAAATGTTCTCGAGTGGGATGCACATAAAATAAGTCCAAGAGCCAGAGGTCGCAGTGCTTTTGCAATCTGTACAGTCGAAGGATGAAATTCAATCCCGTACTTACGCGCCAACAACATATTGATTCATGTATAAATCTTACCACAACGAGAATAGAACCATCATTAGGATTGTATTTGTCCCGAAAAAAATCAGGAAAGCTCTCAATGACAGCTGAAGCAGCAACACAAATAAGCGGATATATTGGATAAAGGAATCTGCAAAATTATAGGATGAGAATCAGTTTTACCATCTCGTCCGTAACTTGTTTTTAATCAAACTCAAGTTTGATAAATCTCTTTCCAGGATGAGTACCCAAGAAGTTCAATGAACAGTCCGGTTACAGTTATTGTGTTATATTCAAAATTGATAGCAAATTATCAAGAAACTTGATACTAGATAAAATCCTTCTAATATCGTAATGAATTTGCATGCAACTGTCCAAGCCAAAACACTCATACGTGTCTTTTAACAATTCTGAGAAGGCAATAAGATAGAAGTCAGCCCAGTGGGTACATTGCATCCCCACACATAAGTGTCAGTGAACCAGAAAAGAACATTTATATTATGTCTAATTGTCAGTCCACATCAAATTTGTTCATCCAGCACTTTTGCAAATTATAGAATACCATAAAAAAAAAAAAAAAAAATNNNAAAAAAAAAAAAAAAAATGTTACTACAAGCTGATGGATATCAAAGTTTAGCCTCAGATCAAAGGGAGGAAGAAGAATAAACTTTACCTCTCTTCCTTGTGTGGCTGCAAAGACATGAAAGCTAGCCAGATATAGATGGGTGAGATGATGACCAACAAGTCTGGAAGATACTTCTTCGTTGCAATTGGCAGGATTACAATGAAAACGAGAGCAAGGACGAAACAAAAGTTGAAATTATTGAAACCATTTTTCAGGTAAAACAGTGGGCCTTCAGTGCCATACAAATGACTTTCTCCACCACCTGATACATTATATATCAATAAATTGAGAACTGATGATGTCCACTTTCCATAGTAGAAGTAGTCAACAACAATCGATAGTGCCTGGTGAATTGGACAAAATAACACAACATTAGATCCGGAAAAAAAATCCAAGTTGCAGTTGGTGGGATATAATCATGGCTTCCTGGAAGGCTTGAATGAAAAATTTTAGTAACAGTTGCATAAGTTTGAATTGTGAGAAATCTGACTTACCAAAAGAGCAAGAGATGTTACCACGCCAGACAAAAATGCATGTTTAAATCTTCTAACTAAGGAGAAAACTGTTACAGGAAGAAATGCCAAGATTGAGAATGGCCAACCCAGAATGACTCCAGTGGCAGAAACAGCAACAGCAGCTGCAGGCTTCTCAAAAAGAGAAAGTGCGCATGAAAGGGACATAGCATACATAGAGAATGAACTTGGCAACAGACCTGCATGTGAAGCAACATTGAAAGTTAAGGAAAATATTGATGAGAATTAAGGATAATCCTCTAGTTTGACATGCATTCCTTGGGTGGAGAACTAAAAGGGTAGCTATTTCCTCACTAAGATTCAGAACTCCTACACAACTCTAAGTAGCTGATTCCAGAGAACTATAATCAAAGACGCTAATAAATGAGTGAGAAACATAAAGGCTTACTTACTAGTGCTAGCAAAGAAACAACCACTGGCCAAGCATAGCATTGCAAGTGTATATGAAGCAAGGCGTTTCCCATATTTCCTAGAAAGTGCTACAACGAGAGCAGCATCTGAAATGACAGACAAGGTGCCGAGAAATATCCTCACAGCATAGAATACTCTCACCTGAGATTTTACAGGCATAAAGAATTAGAAATTAGAAGGGGGAAAAAAGTTTGCCTCTAATAGAGTGGAATACTAAAGCAGGAAAATCCGAAGGTTGTTTACTTTTTCTTCGCCAAACCACCAAGAAGCAGGCAAGCCAACTATGTTGTGGAATAGAAGATACAAATATGAGCGCAGTGCAAACTGGGAGCTGCAAGGTACAAATAAATGGCATTGGTAAAAGATTACCGTCAATGGATGTGCTTTTGGTGACAATAAGATCGATCTATTTGTCATGCCTTCCTAATCCATACCATTAAAAGGAATACACAGATGTAAATCTAGAACAGCAAAAGGTTAAGATCGATGAATAAACAAGCCTATAACCCTATGTAAACAATCATTAATTCCATATATCTAATAGAAACTTTGCAAATCACTACATAAGTAAATCCAGTTTGTGCATATCAAATCTCACAACCAACCTCTAAGAGGAAAAACAGAAATCAGTTGCTACTGGGATACGCACGCAGATATTAGTGTTTCAATGTGACGAAGATACCTTGTAAGATATTATTAGCAAACTTGAAACGGCAAAATTTCAATTATTAGCAAATTTTAATTTTTATCTGCACATCATTTCTCCTCATCTTTCTAACTCAACAGCAGTCTACTTATCATACAAACATAACATAACATCATTAATAAGTAAAATTCACCAAAAATATCCTAACAAATCATCCACATAGCCAAAGCATCATCTGATCTTTTGCTCAAGCCCCTCATACAAAATTTACCCTACACCCCGCAACCACATCTTTTTCTTTCCCTAAAAAAAAAAAACATAAAATCTGTACGGCTGTACCGATCAAACAATATATACAATATGCGTACAGTAGAACACAGCTACCTGTATTCCCAGGTCTGAAAACCGGACTTGTAGAGGAGGAAATGAAGAGGCTCCCAGTAATTGAAGACCTCATCGCAGTCGTGTATTATGTTGGATGAGGCGCTCATGTAGCGAAGCATTCCCAGCGACACCAATGGCAGGAACCACCCTAATCCACGGTCTAGTTCGGCGGTCGGATTTTCCGGCTTATCGAGCTTGGAATACTGAGAAAGGGACGATGATGACGTCGTGTGGAGATCCATCGGCGACGAGCGCCGCTGCCTTGTCGTCAGAGCCATCTGCCTGCTCGCTTTTCAGTCTATCGGAATTTGCTTTCCTGAAAGTGTTGGAGAAATTCTGAAAGCTTTTACGCTTGTCGACTGTATGGGCCTTCACATCCACTTTGTATACTTCCCAAATATGCAATCTTTGAATGGAAGACTCGCAAAATCGCAGGCCCCAAATTTTTAAGCTTTATTATTTTGTTTGGATGAATTTTAATTTATTTTTATTTTAAAAATAAATAAAATGATATCATAAATATATTAGATACTATAAATACTATACACAGATATATTTATTAATATTATAAATTAAAAATGTTCATTGAATAATATTTATAAATTAAAAATATGAAATCTATTTATAATACAAATTAACTATATTAATTAATTGAAAATATTATATAAAATTTAAATTGTGCAAAATTATATAAAACATGTCTATTTAAAATTAGTATAACTTTACAGTACACGTAACTGTTAATAAATTATATTATATTTATTTCAATATAAGTGCCATTTTAATTTTTTTATTCAAAAATTCGGTTTGACTATATGTGACTCAATAAAATAATTATTTTGGTAAAATTTTGTCATATATTTAAAAATCTATGTGAATAATAAGTATAATTATAAAACTTACATTGTTTCATTAATTAAAATGAAGTTATTGTTGCATAAGGTATCCAAATAAAAAATTTAATTAGTTGAGTAATTTATTAAATTATAAATAAATTATTATTCTTACATCCAAGTTCATATTGACCTGTAATTTATGAATAATTACCTATTTAACTTTTAAATTTTGAACCCAAATTTGGACTACACAGTAAATTCTCTTAAATTACTTATTTGAGTTTTAAATTTAGAACCCAAATTTGGACTACACAGTAAATTCTCTTATATATATATGTGTGTGTGTGTATATATATTATCTCCCAATTTTGTAAATTTGTTGTTGGTTATCTTATCGTTCAAATTTATCAACTAATTTTTTAGAATTAAATTATAAATTTTAAAATCTATAAACTAATATTTATTCAAAGATCTTTATGATTTTCAAGAGAAATACATACCAATTTGCCGAATTATCATCAATATCTTATGGCAAGTTATTATGGGAATATGCTAGAATTTGAGAATCATATCATCTTGATTTTATAATTAATCAACCTAAAATTCGACTTTTATACTCATACCAAATAAAATTCAAACCACTTATATTGTTTTTAAATATCCAAATATACTTTTATCCATACCAAGTAAATTTCATACAATTTAAATTCAGACGTTTCCTACTAAAATAAAATCACCTATTTTTATATCAAACATTTGGATATTAATTAGTAAATACACATTTGTTACCAAAAATAAATATAGTCATCAGATACCTCAAATAAAATAGCTCACTTTATAAGAATTGGACAGTTTAGGCACCTGGGTAGTACGAACGGGTAGCTCGGGCAGCTCAGTCGCCAGTCTAATGCAACGAGGTAACACTCTTATATAAAAGGGTGATGTATGATCACTTACAATCTGTACACTCTAATATACTACAATTATATCCAGTTCATACTGAGTGTTGAAGCTTCTACGTTAGGACAACTCCGGCGCTGTTTTGCAAGTCTATCGGCCGAGAGCGGATGCAAGATCGTTCAACCCGATTGAGATCATTTGCACTACCACATTTCTAGATCTCCATGCAGTATTCATTGCAAAAACGCGCCTGAACCTTGTCAGGCCTACATAAGAAGAGCATGACTCCATAAAAGTCAAACCTCCAAACTTTGTCGAAAATGGTAAATCAAATTGTTATATCATGGATTATGTTCAATGAGAACCCCAATTCCCTGATTTTGCATGGTTTAAGGAACGCCATTAAAACCCGTTGATATTCTGATCTCGCATTCTAATACTCACTGACAGAGTTTGTAAGCCCTCATATGAGCATTTCAGTGAAAAAAAGCCACGTCCGGTTCAATTATCTCCTCCAAATATTGCCATGCTCTGTCTTACATACGAACAGGTAGAGTGTGA